TGTAATAGTCAACAAAATAAAATCCAGCCCATCAACCGTGAAGAGCTCAGTCCCCCAGGGTAATGTGCTTGCTCCAGTACTTTTTCTCATCCTCATATCGGACATAGACCAGAACACAACCTATAGCACTGTATCATCCTTTGCAGATGACACTAGGATTTTCATGAGAGTTGGCAACATAGAGGACACGGCAAACCTCCAATCAGATGTAGATCAGGTCTTTCTATGGGCTACAGAAAATAATATGGTATTCAACGAGGATAAGTTTCAGCTCATGCGCTACGGAAAAATTGAAATTATAAAAACAGAAACCACGTACAAAACGCAGGCAAATCATAACATAGAACGAAAAGGCAATGTAAAGGACCTGGGTGTACTCATGTCGGAAGACCTTACCTTTAAAGAACACAATAAAGTAGCCGTCACAACTGCAAGAAAAATGACAGGTTGGATAACAAGAACTTTTCACACTAGAGATGCTATACCGATGATGATACTTTTCAAAACGCTTGTGCTCTCTAGAGTGGAGTACTGCTGCACAATGACAGCCCCTTTCAAAGCTGGAGAAATTGCTGACCTAGAGAGCGTGCAGAGATCCTTTACTGCTAGAATCCACTCAGTAAAACATCTAAATTACTGGGACCGACTAAAGAGCCTAAATCTGTACTCCCTTGAGCGCAGGCGGGAGAGATACATAATAATTTACACGTGGAAAATAATTGAGGGGCTGGTCCCAAACCTGCACACAGAAATAACACCACATGAGACCAGAAGACATGGCAGGATGTGCAGAATACCCCCGTTGAAAAGCAGAGGTGCAACAGGTACTCTGAGAGAGAACTCTATCAACATCAGAGGCCCGAGGCTGTTCAACACGCTTCCACTACACATAAGGGGCATAACTGGCAAACCCCTCACAGTGTTCAAGAGAGAACTGGATAAGCACCTCCAAACAAGTATCTACACCACAAGTATCTACACCACAAGTATCTACACCACAAGTATCTACACAAGTATCTACACCACAAGTATCTACACCACAAGTATCTACACCACAAGTATCACACCACAAGTATCAACAAGTATCTACCACAAGTATCTACACCACAAGTATCTACACCACAAGTATCTACACCACAAGTATCACACCACAAGTATCTACACCACAAGTATCAACACCACAAGTATCTACACCACTACACCACAAGTATCTACACAAGTATCTACACCACAAGTATCTACACCACAAGTATCTACACCACAAGTATCTACACCACAAGTATCTACACCACAAGTATCTACACCACAAGTATCTACACCACAAGTATCTACACCACAAGTATCTACACCACAAGTATCAACACCACAAGTATCTACACCACAAGTATCAACACCACAAGTATCTGCACCACAAGTATCAACACCACAAGTATCTACACCACAAGTATCTACACCACAAGTATCAACACCACAAGTATCTACACCACAAGTATCAACACCACAAGTATCTGCACCACAAGTATCTACACAAGTATCTACACTACAAGTATCTACACCACAAGTATCTACACCACAAGTATCTACACCACAAATATCTACACAAGTATCTACACCACAAGTATCTACACCACAAGTATCTACACCACAAGTATCTGCACCACAAGTATCTACACAAGTATCTACACCACAAGTATCTACACCACAAGTATCAACACCACAAGTATCTACACCACAAGTATCAACACCACAAGTATCTGCACCACAAGTATCTGCACCACAAGTATCAACACCACAAGTATCTACACCACAAGTATCAACACCACAAGTATCTGCACCACAAGTATCTGCACCACAAGTATCAACACCACAAGTATCTGCACCACAAGTATCTACACCACAAGTATCTGCACCACAAGTATCAACACCACAAGTATCAACACCACAAGTATCAACACCACAAGTATCAACACCACAAGTATCAACACCACAAGTATCAACACCACAAGTATCTACACAAGTATCTACACTACAAGTATCTACACCACAAGTATCTACACCACAAATATCTACACAAGTATCTACACCACAAGTATCTACACCACAAGTATCTACACAAGTATCTGCACCACAAGTATCTACACCACAAGTATCAACACCACAAGTATCAACACCACAAGTATCAACACCACAAGTATCAACACCACAAGTATCTGCACCACAAGTATCAACACCACAAGTATCAACACCACAAGTATCAACACCACAAGTATCAACACCACAAGTATCTGCACCACAAGTATCTACACCACAAGTATCTACACCACAAGTATCAACACCACAAGTATCAACACCACAAGTATCTACACCACAAGTATCAACACCACAAGTATCTGCACCACAAGTATCTACACCACAAGTATCTACACCACAAGTATCTACACCACAAGTATCAACACCACAAGTATCTGCACCACAAGTATCTGCACCACAAGTATCTGCACCACAAGTATCTACACCACAAGTATCTGCACCACAAGTATCTGCACCACAAGTATCTGCACCACAAGTATCTACACCACAAGTATCTACACAAGTATCTGCACCACAAGTATCTACACCACAAGTATCTGCACCACAAGTATCTACACCACAAGTATCTGCACCACAAGTATCTACACAAGTATCTGCACCACAAGTATCTACACCACAAGTATCTACACCACAAGTATCAACACCACAAGTATCAACACCACAAGTATCTGCACCACAAGTATCTGCACCACAAGTATCTGCACCACAAGTATCTACACCACAAGTATCTGCACCACAAGTATCTGCACCACAAGTATCAACACCACAAGTATCAACACCACAAGTATCTGCACCACAAGTATCTACACCACAAGTATCTGCACCACAAGTATCAACACCACAAGTATCAACACCACAAGTATCTACACCACAAGTATCAACACCACAAGTATCTACACAAGTATCTACACCACAAGTATCTGCACCACAAGTATCAACACCACAAGTATCAACACCACAAGTATCAACACCACAAGTATCTACACAAGTATCTACACTACAAGTATCTACACCACAAGTATCTACACCACAAGTATCTACACCACAAATATCTACACCACAAGTATCTACACCACAAGTATCTACACAAGTATCTACACCACAAGTATCTACACAAGTATCTACACCACAAGTATCAACACCACAAGTATCTGCACCACAAGTATCAACACCACAAGTATCAACACCACAAGTATCTACACCACAAGTATCTACACCACAAGTATCTACACCACAAGTATCTACACCACAAGTATCTACACCACAAGTATCTACACCACAAGTATCTACACAAGTATCTACACCACAAGTATCAACACCACAAGTATCAACACCACAAGTATCTACACCACAAGTATCTACACCACAAGTATCTGCACCACAAGTATCTACACAAGTATCTACACCACAAGTATCTACACCACAAGTATCTACACAAGTATCTACACCACAAGTATCTACACCACAAGTATCTACACCACAAGTATCTACACAAGTATCTACACCACAAGTATCAACACCACAAGTATCTACACCACAAGTATCTACACAAGTATCTACACCACAAGTATCTACACCACAAGTATCTACACCACAAGTATCTACACCACAAGTATCTACACAAGTATCTACACCACAAGTATCTACACCACAAGTATCTACACCACAAGTATCTACACAAGTATCTACACCACAAGTATCTACACCACAAGTATCTACACCACAAGTATCTACACCACAAGTATCTACACCACAAGTATCTACACCACAAGTATCTACACCACAAGTATCTACACAAGTATCTACACCACAAGTATCTACACCACAAGTATCTACACCACAAGTATCTACACCACAAGTATCTACACCACAAGTATCTACACCACAAGTATCTACACCACAAGTATCTACACCACAAGTATCTGCACCACAAGTATCTACACCACAAGTATCTACACCACAAGTATCTACACCACAAGTATCTACACCACAAGTATCTACACCACAAGTATCTACACCATAAAGAGAAACAAGGAATCTGAGAGAGAAAAATAATATTGGAATGGACATAATTCCATCACTGTCTCCAGAGACTCACATAAACAGGATAACATCAGCAGCATACGAGACGTTAGCAAACAATATTATATCATTTAGAAACCTAAACATTGCCTCTTTCAAGACAATCCAACAATTACAATACGCAGCACCGGCCTGGAATCCTCACCTCGTGAATCAAACCAAAATTTCCAACACGTTCAGAGGTTTACACCAACAACCCAGACCTTAAGTGGACTAAACAGTGAGGATCAAGAGAATTAGATCTCACAGCTCTGGCAAAGACAGAGGGGAGACATGATTGCAACATACAGGATACCGAGGAGAATTACCAAAGAGGACAACAAGAGAGGCAGGCTAGGCAGAGGCATGTTCGTGTCAGGAAGGAATGCATTACCTGTCTGTCCAAACCTGCCGCTCCATACCTGTCCCCCCGGGGGGGGGGGGGTGTGCTCGTACACCCGCCACCCCGGGTCCTCGCTGCTCTCCCTAAAGTGTCGTACCGCGAGTATTGTGTCTTATGGAGTCTGTCTGAAGTGCTGTGAGGCACCACAGGGGTGAATAGTGTGTTATACAACACCTTGGAGGTCAATAATGTAATATGCAACACCCTGGAGGTCAATAATGTAATATACAACACCTTGGAGGTCAATAATGTAATATGCAACACCCTGGAGGTCAATAATGTAATATACAACACCTTGGAGGTCAATAATGTAATATGCAACACCCTGGAGGTCAATAATGTAATATGCAACACCCTGGAGGTCAATAATGTAATATACAACACCTTGGAGGTCAATAATGTAATATGCAACACCTTGGAGGTCAATAATGTAATATACAACACCATGGAGGTCAATAATGTAATATACAACACCATGGAGGTCAATAATGTAATATACAACACCATGGAGGTCAATAATGTAATATACAACACCATGGAGGTCAATAATGTAATATACAACACCTTGGAGGTCAATAATGTAATATACAACACCCTGGAGGTCAATAATGTAATATACAACACCCTGGAGGTCAATAATGTAATATACAACACCTTGGAGGTCAATAATGTAATATGCAACACCCTGGAGGTCAATAATGTATTATACAACACCTTGGAGGTCAATAATGTAATATACAACACCTTGGAGGTCAATAATGTATTATACAACACCTTGGAGGTCAATAATGTAATATACAACACCTTGGAGGTCAATAATGTAATATGCAACACCTTGGAGGTCAATAATGTAATATACAACACCTTGGAGGTCAATAATGTAATATACAACACCTTGGAGGTCAATAATGTATTATACAACACCTTGGAGGTCAATAATGTAATATACAACACCTTGGAGGTCAATAATGTATTATACAACACCTTGGAGGTCAATAATGTAATATACAACACCTTGGAGGTCAATAATGTAATATACAACACCATGGAGGTCAATAATGTATTATACAACACCTTGGAGGTCAATAATGTATTATACAACACCTTGGAGGTCAATAATGTATTATACAACACCTTGGAGGTCAATAATGTAATATACAACACCTTGGAGGTCAATAATGTAATATACAACACCTTGGAGGTCAATAATGTAATATACAACACCATGGAGGTCAATAATGTATTATACAACACCTTGGAGGTCAATAATGTATTATACAACACCCTGGAGGTCAATAATGTAATATACAACACCCTGGAGGTCAATAATGTAATATACAACACCTTGGAGGTCAATAATGTAATATGCAACACCCTGGAGGTCAATAATGTATTATACAACACCTTGGAGGTCAATAATGTAATATACAACACCTTGGAGGTCAATAATGTATTATACAACACCTTGGAGGTCAATAATGTAATATACAACACCTTGGAGGTCAATAATGTAATATGCAACACCTTGGAGGTCAATAATGTAATATACAACACCTTGGAGGTCAATAATGTAATATACAACACCTTGGAGGTCAATAATGTATTATACAACACCTTGGAGGTCAATAATGTAATATACAACACCTTGGAGGTCAATAATGTATTATACAACACCTTGGAGGTCAATAATGTAATATACAACACCTTGGAGGTCAATAATGTAATATACAACACCATGGAGGTCAATAATGTATTATACAACACCTTGGAGGTCAATAATGTATTATACAACACCTTGGAGGTCAATAATGTAATATACAACACCTTGGAGGTCAATAATGTAATATACAACACCTTGGAGGTCAATAATGTAATATACAACACCTTGGAGGTCAATAATGTAATATACAACACCTTGGAGGTCAATAATGTAATATACAACACCTTGGAGGTCAATAATGTAATATACAACACCTTGGAGGTCAATAATGTAATATACAACACCATGGAGGTCAATAATGTATTATACAACACCTTGGAGGTCAATAATGTATTATACAACACCTTGGAGGTCAATAATGTAATATACAACACCTTGGAGGTCAATAATGTAATATACAACACCTTGGAGGTCAATAATGTAATATACAACACCTTGGAGGTCAATAATGTAATATACAACACCTTGGAGGTCAATAATGTAATATACAACACCTTGGAGGTCAATAATGTAATATACAACACCTTGGAGGTCAATAATGTAATATACAACACCTTGGAGGTCAATAATGTAATATACAACACCATGGAGGTCAATAATGTATTATACAACACCTTGGAGGTCAATAATGCGTTATACAACACCATGGAGGTCAATAATGTAATATACAACACCATGGAGGTCAATAATGTATTATACAACACCTTGGAGGTCAATAATGTATTATACAACACCTTGGAGGTCAATAATGTATTATACAACACCCTGGAGGTCAATAATGTATTATACAACACCTTGGAGGTCAATAATGTATTATACAACACCCTGGAGGTCAATAATGTATTATACAACACCTTGGAGGTCAATAACGTATTATACAACACCCTGGAGGTCAATAATGTATTATACAACACCCTGGAGGTCAATAATGTATTATACAACACCTTGTCGCACTGGTAAACAATTCGACCTTAACTGCCGAACTGCATCTGTTAGGTGTGTTGATCTAGGCTCTTATACAGCATCTGATAAACAACTCGAATTAAATAGTCTTATTAACCCTGTGAGGCACGATTTACCATCCCTGAACCCATGCTGGTGGTGCGTTACAAAGCTGTTTCCCTCCAGATGCTCTACGAGCCTTTTCCTCACGATCTTCTCCGTCACCTTGCATGGTATACAAGTTAGGGAAACTGGCCTGTAGTTCACTTGCTTGTCACGCTTCTTGTATATTGGGACTACGTTAGCTGTCTTCCAACTTTCCGGTAAGTCTCCCGTTTCCAGTGACCTGTTACCCGCCAAACACACACCGAAACTACGACGTTGGTACAACGTTCGAACAAGTTTTAACACCTAACCAGTTATAACAACCAATATAGCAAGTTGTAATTAACAACGTTCTAATACGTCATGAACACGTTAAGCCAAAATGTAACAACTTTATTACAAGTTGTAACAAGCAGAAAATAGAGACAGTTTTGGGTTGTGTTTCCAGGGTATACGCCGTAGAGAGTGGCACGCTTAGTGCTTCTGCACACTCTTTTAGTACTGCAGAGAATATAAATTTGTAGGAAATTTGCATTCCTCTTAATGTATTTGCTATTCTATCCATTTTCTCTTCCCTGTATTTTCTGCCTTTATCATACTTTTCCTCCTCTACCCAATGTGGCTGCCAGGGTGGGGGGGGGGTCTGCGGTCTGGTGCCTGCGGTCTGCGGTTACTGCGGTTAAGTGAGGTACCACATCTCTTCAACTGGTTTTTTCTGACCATAACATGGGAATTTATTTTTTTACTTCTGTGAGGCATTTATGTGAGACGGCGAGAGTTTGTGTTTTGCTTCGTTGTTGGGTTTGTGTCTCTTTCTCTTGTTCTCTCTCTTCTATCTTTCTGTCTATTATCTCTTCTCCTTTTGTGTCACTTCACATTTATTTATTTCAGTCTGTTTTCTTTCTGTATAATCTCTCTCTCTCTCTCTCTCTCTCTCTCTCTCTCTCTCTCTCTCTCTCTCTCTCTCTCTCTCTCTCTCTCTCTCTCTCTCTCTCTCTCTCTCTCTCTCTCTCTCTCTCTCTCTCTCCACCATAGCCCCACCACAGCCCCACCACAGCCCCACACAGCCACCACAACCCCACCACAGCCCCACACAGCCCCACACAGCCCCACCACAGCCCCACACAGCCCCACACAGCCCCACACAGCCGCACACAGCCCCACACAGCCCCACACAGCCACCACAGCCCCACCACAGCTCCACACTGCCCCACACAGCCCCACCACAGCCCCCATCACAGCCACCACAGCCCCACACAGCCACCACAGCCCCACCACAGCTCCACACTGCCCCACACAGCCCCACCACAGCCCCATCACAGCCCCACCGCAGCCACCACAGCCCCACACAGCCACCACAGCCACACCACAGCTACCACAGCCCCACCGCAGCCACCACAGCCCCACACAGCCACCACAGCCGCCACAGCCCCACACAGCCCCACCACAGCCCCACCACAGCCCCACACAGCCCCACCACAGCTCCACACAGCCCCACCACAGCCCCACACAGCCCCACACAGCCCCACACAGCTACCACAGCTCCACACAGCCGCCACAGCCCCACACAGCCACCACAGCCCCACCACAGCCACCACAGCCCCACACAGCCACCACAGCCACCACAGCCACCACAGCCCCACAGCCACCACAGCCACCACAGCCCCACACAGCCACCACAGCCACCACAGCCCCACACAGCCACCACAGCCCCACACAGCCACCGCAGCCCCACACAGCCACCACAGCCCCACACAGCCACCACAGCCCCACCACAGCCCCACACAGCCCCACACAGCCCCACCACAGCCCCACACAGCCACCACAGCCCCACACAGCCCCACACAGCCACCACAGCCCCACACAGCCCCACACAGCCCCACACAGCCACCACAGCCCCACACAGCCACCACAGCCCCACACACCCACCACAGCCCCACACAGCCACCACACAGCCCCACACAGCCACCACAGCCCCACACAGGCCCACCACAGCCCCACACAACCCCACACAACCCCACACAGCCCCACACAGCCCCACCACAGCCACCACAGCCCCACACAACCCCCCCACAGCCACCACAGCCCCACACAGCCCCACACAGCCCCACACAGCCACCACACAGCCACCACAGGCCCACACAGCCACCACAGCCCCACACAGCCACCACAGCCCCACACAGCCCCACACAGCCACCACAGCCCCACACAGCCCCACACAGCCCCACCACAGCCACCACAGCCCCACACAGCCACAACAGCCCCACACAGCCACAACAGCCACCACAGCCCCACACAGCCCCACCACAGCCACCACAGCCCCACACAGCCACCACAGCCCGACACAGCCCCACACAGCCACCACAGCCCCACAACAGCCACCACAGCCACCACAGCCCCACCACAGCCCCACCACAGCCACCACAGCCCCACCAAAGTCCCACACAGCCACCACAGCCCCACCACAGCCCCACAACAGCCACCACAGCCCCCCCACAGCCACCACAGCCCCACCACAGCCCCACACAGCCCCACAACAGCCACCACAGCCCCACCACAGCCCCACACAGCCACCACAGCCCCACCACAGCCCCACAACAGCCACCACAGCCCCCCACAGCCCCACACAGCCCCACAACAGCCACCACAGCCCCACCACAGCCCCACACAGCCACCACAGCCCCACCACAGCCCCACAACAGCCACCACAGCCCCCCACAGCCACCACAGCCCCACCACAGCCCCACAACAGCCACCACAGCCCCCCCACAGCCACCACAGCCCCACCACAGCCCCACAACAGCCACCACAGCCCCACCACAGCCCCACACAGCCCCACAACAGCCACCACAGCCCCACACAGCCCCACACAGCCCCACAACAGCCCCACAACAGCCACCACAGCCCCACCACAGCCCCACAACAACCACCACAGCCCCCCCACAGCCACCACAGTCCCACCACAGCCCCACACAGCCCCACACAGCCCCACAACAGCCACCACAGCCCCACACAGCCCCACACAGCCCCACAACAGCCCCACAACAGCCACCACAGCCCCACCACAGCCCACAACAACCACCACAGCCCCACCACAGCCACCACAGCCCCACCACAGCCCCACCACAGCCACCACAGCCCCACAACAGCCCACAACAGCCACCACAGCCCCACACAGCCCCACACAGCCCCACAACAGCCCCACAACAGCCACCACAGCCCCACAACAACCACCACAGCCCCACCACAGCCACCACAGCCCCACCACAGCCCCACCACAGCCACCACAGCCCCACACAGCCCCACAACGGCCACCACAGCCACCACAGCCCCACACAGCCCCACCACAGCCACCACAGCCCCACCACAGCCCCACCACAGCCACCACAGCCCCACCACAGCCCCACCACAGAAACCACAGTCCCACCACAGCCCCACCACAGCCCCACACAGCCCCACACAGCCACCACAGCCACCACAGCCCCACCACAGCCCCACACAGCCCCACACAGCCCACCACAGCCCCACACAGCCACCACAGCGGGAACAATCTGCGAACTACAAGAAAAACTTTTCAAAATCTCTCTTGGAATTTTCTACCACAGAAAGTTATATATAGTTGATGGGGGGAGAGTGTAGAGGCCGGAGGGGGCTCTGATGTTTACACTCTCTTCTCCTACTGTGGCCACAACACCTCGACTTTTAGCCCAACCACTTCGGCGTGGACGGTAGAGCGACAGTTTCGTTCCATGCAGGTCGGCGTTCAATCCCCGACCGTCCATAAGTGGTTGGGCACCATTCCCTTTTTTCGTCTGTCCTGTTTTTAAATTGCTGTCTACTGATAATTACCACGACTTACAGTGGGATACATTTTGCACTTCCTGCCATGTCTCTCACTCCAGTGGCTATTGTGGTATTTTATATTTCAAGTTAGTTATCTGACTTTTGTGTAATTTGTCATGTGTATATAATGAGATATATTTCTCGTCTCCTTTCCAGGTAGAACAGTTTGGGCACTTTGATGGGATTTCAGTAGTATTAATCTTTCTCTTATTCTCTGGCTATCTTGAGGTTATCTTGAGTTTATCTTGAGGTTATCTTGACGTTATCTTGAGGTTATCTTGAGATGATTTCGGGGCTTAGCGTCCCCGCGGCCCGGTCCTCGACCAGGCCTCCTTTTTGTTACACACCCCCAGGAAGCAGCCCATAGCAGCTGTCAGCTATTGAAGGATCTCTGTATGTTATCTTACTCTGCTATCTCGGTGCTGTGAGGAGCGAGTAATATTTCCTTCTAGATAACACTAGTGTTTGGAAGATTTTCAATAGTGTTTTTTTTTGTTATAATAATAATATTATTGTTGTGTCCAATGTTCTCATTATGTCCTAGCATTTTTTTATGATTTATTATTTGCTTCGTTGTGATTTCTAAGCATTTTGGGCTCTTGAGAAAATCCTTTGCATCGTGAATTGCTGTTGCATCAGGAGCCACCGATGTATATATGTATATATATATATATATATATATATATATATATATATATATATATATTATATATATATATATATATATATATATATATATATATATATATATATGAAAATATCACAAGCTCTTTTCTGAATGCTCTTTGTTTTCTTCTTCGAGGATGTGGGTCCCGGCAATTTTGTATATATGTATATATATATATATATATATATATATATATATATATATATATATATATATATATATATATATATATATATAGTCTGTTTTGATATGCAAATCTGGTTGGGCACCATTCCTTCCCCCGTCCCATCCCTAATCCTTATCCTGACCCCTTATCCCACTAAGCAAGATGTTGACTCATCAGTGAAGCAGTTACTCATTGATTTATAAAGATTAAGCCAGCCTAGAGGTGGCACGGGCATGA